TTGGATGTATGATATCATGAGATATCAAATTTTTTTGATAGAGAATGTTTGTGTTATATATATAGGCACACACTCTCACATTTGATAAACGATCGATTAAAATTTGTACAGAGAGAGTAGAATATATACACGCACTCTAACATTTGATAAATGATCGGTGTAGATTTGTATAGAGACAATATAGAATTGTGAGGCGTTCAATGTTCATCTGGTACACCTATAAATTTACAATAATCATAATGGATAAACAAATCAGCAAACCAAACACAAAGCTAGGAGAACAAAAATTTAGATAGAAAGAAACTTATGAAAAATAATCATTTGATGTGAAGTTTTAATGTAAAATTGATTTTAAGTATAATATCAATAATAACAAAAAAGTGTTTGATTTAACTTATTTTTTTGAAAAAAAAAATTAGTGAATAGTAAAAATCAACTAAAATCTTTCAACTAAACCCACAATTAATTTTATCACAAGTTAAATGATTCCAATCCAAGAGCTTTCAAGAAACGAACTAACCTGTCCAGGAGTTACAGTAATCACAGGATCTTCTACTCTACCACTGAATAGATTTCCATCTGGACAAAGTAATGTTGTATTCATCCTTCCCTTTTTGTCACTTACAGTTCCATCTTTAAACGGAACAAATGTACCGACTATTGAAACAATTTCAAATAGACCCTACACAAAAATAAATAAATAAATAAAAACAAGGCAATAGATAAATAAAAACACATGTAGACAAACCAAAAGGTAACCTCGAATCAAACAAGAATGGAGAATTAAATTAAGAAACCTTGTATATTGTGGGTTCGCAATATTGCACAGAAAGGCATATTGTGGCCCATGATAAGGTCCAACTGGTTTCTTTCATAGAAACAACCCCAGGTTCTGTTGTCGTAGCATCCCTAATTTTTCTTAGAATATTCTGAAAAATATGTCAATAAGTTCAGCACATTACAAGTGGAAGTGATAGGAGCTATCATTAAGGTAAAAAAAAAAGTATAATTGAATGGATATGGAAAGACATAATATTATTAGATGTACACGTATAATATTCAATGTAGTTCATTTTTATAAACATACTATATTACGAGTATAGCGATCAATGACATGTTCAATGATCTAAACCTTCTAAGACTGAAAAGTTATTGTAATACTCATGCAATTGTCAATTTTTATGATTCAAGTAAATCATACAAAACTGATTAAAGCATTTAATACTCATGCAATTGTCAAGAATTTGCATAAGAGAAATTATCAGTATGTTGAAATATTTAACCTCTCCACCGTTGAAATTGAGAATATGTTGTTTGAATCTTTTGAAATTGGTTGAACCTGCAAGCATAATGTGTCAAAAGTGTTTAAGGTTCAATCAAATTCATATACTTAGATCACAATTTCAAATGCAAAGACATAATAAAAATCTTTGGAAGATTAGATCTTATGTTTTACATTCAATAATGTTACCTAAGGGGTTGAGCCTAAGTTTCCTAGCATGTTGGCAGGTCCACCCAACCACAGTTGTTGGGTTGGAGTATGCAGCCGGCGTCATTGCCTCGGAATCCTTTATGGAGATAAGATTTTATTTCTTTATGGTGGTCATAGTTTAATCTGCAAACTAAAACCTTCCAAGACTGAAAAGTTATTGTAATTACAATATGAACTAAAAATAGATTTTAACAATGAAAACCACAAGAAATCAAATAAAAAAATGTAATGAAAGATAGTATAAAGTAAGTTTTTATGAAAAATCAAAATCACTTAGAGTTAACAAATTGTATAGTGGCTTTGCCCCTAGTACATCCACTTAAAAACGATTCAAACAATATATTACAAGAGCCGACACCCAAAGATGCGATCAAACAACTCACTAGCTCCTATCCTCTCGCAACTATCGATCTACTTTTGATGACAAACCCTAGATTTATTTGACTTACAGTTGACAAGAACACACCACTCACAAAATCAAGCAAACAAAGGGACGAAGGAGATATAATCAATCTCCGCGTCACCGGAAACAAGATCACCGGTTCTCAAACTTCACAAAATACACAGCTAGGAACTGAGAGGACTTACCTTAGAGAGAGGATTAGAGAGGAAAAAAAAAATGAGAGAATAACCCTTGAGAGAGAATGAAAGATGATAGAGAAGATATGAATGAGTAATGGCTGCGCATATAGCACATATATATATTAGGTCGGAATCAATAGGTTACAAAAAACCCTCCATCGGACGGATGTGGATTAATCTCGGAAGTGGGTCCGTGGGCCTTAGAAAATTGGCTTGGTTCTTACTTGGCCTTTGGATCAATTTCGGCCTCAAATATCACATGTAGAAATTAACAATCCTCCACCTAGTTTTTGGTCATACAATTTTATTGGAAGTTTAGGGTCTTCATCGTCAAAAATAAAATTAAATTCCTGCGTAAATAAAACAAAATTGTCAACAAAGAAATTCTAAATAATTGCATTTCATGATTAAAATCTACAACTACACATAAAGTTAGTAGTACATGTTACTCATATGTATCACAATATATAGCCTTCGTGAATGACTAGAATTTAGAAGAAAATAATGCTTTTGTTCCAATATTACGAGGAAAATACAGATCAACGTGTTTAGTTTGTCATGAAATACGAGATTCTTACACAATTGATACCAAATCTAGCATCCAAAGAATAGTAACGAAATTATGCAAATAACTGATTTTAGACATTAAGCCTTTGAACGAAATCTTTTAGGAGATTTTCAAAGTATATTTGAGGTAGAATATAAAAAAATGATATATGTAGAGAAATGAAAATAAATATCATGCATGTTCGTATAGTAACTCTGAAAACCTTATCAAAATTAAAAATATCTCTTTGATTGGTGAGTATCAGGTCGATCTCAAAGAATATGCCAATATGCTATGTTCAATAAGAAAATGCGGAATGAGTTAATGCTATCGAATGACTGAAAAATAACCTAATTACTAAAACCGAATTTAATCTAACTAATATATATATATATGTATAACATGATGGGTTTTTAGTAGAGCCGGTAAAAATAGCCACGGCCCGAAAATCCGACTCGAATCTCGCACAAAAAAGTCATGCTAGGGCCTAAAAAAATAAGCCCAATATCTTCGGGTAATTGTGCAACCTGGCACGCAAATGAACCTCGCCGATCCCAGTCCCATGAAAGTCGAGCTGTGCCGGGTCCAGCTTGGTTTATTAAAATTAATATTTAAATTTCTATATTTTTATACATATATATATATATAATAACTAAAGATATAATGACAAAAATTAAGATATGGTTTAAAGGTAAAATTTTTTATTTGTTTTGATTTTGGGGTTGTAAGTTCAATCCCCAAATACACTATTTGAGTAAAAATTTTATTAAATTAATTTAAAATTAAAAAAATTAAAACACGTTTTAAATTAATTATTTAAAGTCTTATAATATCATTAAAAAGCAAGCGGCGGAACCGTACGGCACGGCGGCGGCACCCAACAAAACCTTAACCCTAATTTCGTAATTATATTATTTAAATTTGTATATTTAAAAGGAAAAAATAATTGAAATAAAAAATAAAACAACACCATTTTTATATGATTATAATTTTTTAAGACAAATTAATTATTCAATAAAAATTTTATTTTTTTTTAAATCGTTATGAGCTACTTATGTGTTTAAATTTAAAAAATAGCATACAAAATTTTGTAGATATTATAGCTAATATCCCCTTAAAAAAATACTCCTTCCCTCCCACCTACCTACCATTTTCATGTTGCTGGTTTGTGTCTTCTTTTAATTTTTATTAAATTAATTAATTATCTTAATCTTAATTTATCACTTATTTATTTATTTTTACTAATACATTATTAAATATCTACTAATTATACTTATCCTAAAGTCTAGTGTCTACGGTAACCAAAGCATCCAATGTGGGATGGAAGGAGTATATTATATGCAATGGTTTACAGAATACTATTATGTAATTAGTAAATAATTAAAAATGTATTAATGAATAATTATCGTATAATAAAAAAATTATAAAATAAAATTAAGAAAATTAATTAATTTAATTAAAATTTAAAAAAAAATAATAAAATAAGTGACGTGGGACAAGATGGTCATGATAAGTGGGATGGAAAGAATACAATTTTGCTCAAAACAAGCTGAAGCTAATTAAATTGCTTTACATTTTCAAATATGTTTTAAAAGGGTATAATTTACTAAAAATATATATATACATCTTATACTATGTTTTAATCTAATTATACAGTAAAAATATATACTCCCACTGTCCCAAAAAGAAGTATTCATTTGTTTTTTTTTCACGTGGTTTTAAAAATATTAGTATTATATTGGAATATAATAGGAATAAAGTAGAAATGACTAAAATAACTTAGTATGTGTGATATAAAGGTAATAGCATTTGTGTAATATATTGTAAGTTGTAAGGGTATTTGTAATGTTAGGTAAACAAGTACAGTTATAAAAAATAAAATTGATACTTTTGTTATGGGACGGAGGAGTATATATATTATTTTATGAATTTAAAAAGAAAAAAAGGTTGGAGTAATGAAAATGGCAAAGTAGATGAGAGGAGATGAGATCCAACGATGAGGATTAATTAGGAGAGGGCAGGCCTTCCCTAACCCTTGCCTTCCTCTTTCTTTCTCTTCCAAATTCTAACATCGATTATTGATGATCCCTTTCCATTATTCTGTTTCGTGTGCAATGCCAATGCCAATGCCTGTCTGCACTTTCTCTTTCTCAATTCACACACCCAAACATTAACAATTAAACCTCAATCTGCAGCAGGCATTTCCACCAACACCAATTTACAAAAATCTTCTGGTAAATTATTAATCAACAAATTCGAATCATTCTGCATGCACATCTCCATGCCAATCATCACTTTCCAATTCCAATCCCAATCTTGAATCGAATCGAATTGAATTGGGGAAGAACTCAAAGAATAATTAGGGTTGGGCCGCTGGTAATGGAGGATGAAAGAGAAGGAGATCTCAGAGTACCTTTGGTGTTTTGCATCTTCTTCCTCCTCGTCACCGCCGGTGGCGTCCTCCTCGTCATCTACGTCTTCGCCCCGTCCGCGTCGCAGCCGTGGTACCCCACCGTCGCCATCCTCTTCGTCGCCTCGCCATGGGTTTTCTGGTTCCTTACATATCTCTACACCTGCCTCAAGGCCTGCATCCTCCGAAATTCGGCTGCCGATGACGTCGCCGCCCGCCAAATCTCGCGCCGCCCCACCGCCAGAAATGTCTCCTCCTCCACCCCCGCCACCGGCAGCCAACGATCCTCCTTCGCCTCGTCGAAGGAGCCCGAGATGCCCTTGGTCTGAACTACAATGCCAGATGAGTTATCTATCATTAATTTATTTGTATGAAAGTATTGTTTCTTCTCACCATATTTGTTAAATGGATTGGCATTTTGAATATATATATATTGTAATCTATGCCATGTTGAATTTCGAGATAAAATTCTCGTTTTGTTCAAAGATAAGAAAATTGCATCATATATATCATATATAATAACTAATTTTTGCATAATCAGGCACAAAATGTTCTTCAAAATTTACACTGAAAGCTCTTTGGATGCATTGCAGTTTGATGAAAACTAATACAATAGTTTCTGGTGTGGTTTTGATTTCAAATTAATATACATAACTTCCTCTAATAAAATATCGCATCAAAATATTACTTGAATCAAATTTTTATTTCAATCCTTTTGAAATAAAATAAGAAATCTCGAAAAACATTTCGCTTACCTTTTATTGAAGTTTTCGCGACATATTTCTGCTGCTGCTCCTAGAAAATCTGTGGAGTTCGGCGAGATATTGAAAGAAAGGCAAGAAATCAGCAGCTACTTGGGAAGAAAATGGCAGAACTCAACCAGCTAATTAATAAATTAAAACTATGTTCCACATAGACGAGGATATAAATTCGATCAGCCTGTTCCCATTGGAGTCAGTATAGAGTTTAGGGGCGAGCCGTTCTTATAAACTAGATTATTTGACATATATCTTAAAAATGCAATATGCGAGCGATTAAAAATCCTACTTCGTGATCAAATCTAGCATGATTTGAGCTCTTGTCGCAAAATATGATGTTGGCATAGGTATTTGGCAAATTTTAAGCAAACTCCGGGAGATTCGTTGGGATAATCATTTCGCTACGGAATAAATTTTGGGAAGAATTGATCAAACCATGTTAAGTTTCAGCGATCGATTTCAATCCTTCATAGTGTCTTCTAATAAGTTGTTGATGCGACAATGGAGGAAGATTAACTCACTCTTTGAAGAACAAATCGATCAGTAATAACAAACTTGTAACATAATAGCAATCATCGTTACCGCTTCTTCGGTTGCGCCCTGCGACTTTCTCGAAAAGTATCTCAATGATATGTGTTCAAACTTTTATATGTTGATTAATTCAATTTGTTTCTAGTTTTCTGGCCATTCTTTTATTAGATTTACCCATTAGAAGTTGTAATTGATAAAAAAAAATATGTTAATATGCTAAAGATGGTGTAATAAGACAAACTCTAATTGTGTGTGAATTATATGGTAAGCTTAATTACGAGGAATGTTAATTTATAAGGATTGTACATGGAAATATTTTTAACATATTTGGAGTACATAATTTAGATATGCATTTCATTAATGGGTTTAAAAGGTAATGTGTATTAGTACTAGGCCAACTCAATTAGGATGAAGAGGGTGTTTGGAAAACAGCTTTTGAAGAACTTTGAGCTTATCGAACCGTTTTTAGCTGTTTGACCAGTCAAAAAACTAATTTAGGTGTTTGGTAAATTAGCTTTTGAAAGAGCTTTTTGGACTCAAAAACTAATTTCTAAAAAGTTGGTCTACCCAGCGAGTTTTTTCATTTAAATTTTGGTTATTCCTTATTTACCTTTAAAACATAATTATTTATTTTATACATAATCAGCTAGTCAAACCAGCTAATTGAATCAGCTAACAACTAATTGTCAAACGCACCCCGAGGTCTTTTGGAGGAAGTTTAAAAACAAATTTGTGTCAACGCGGACAATAGCCTAGTACTAATTACTTGTATCGGAGTCTTATTGGCGGTCGAGTGAATTGGATAGCATTGGGTATTGGTTATGGTTTTGGGAATTCCTCGTTGTCCTCGTGATTAAAATATGCAGATGTGTCTTATGTCGAAAGTCTTATGAAGTCGTGGCGGTCAATTGGACTATTGTAATCCTTTGTGAAAGGTGGTGCAAGACAGGTAAATCAATAGAATATCACCGGAGGAAATATTATAGGTTATCTGGTTCTTAGTTTAAGAGATAGAATACAAAATAGTTTACATTAGAAAACTAGAAAAAATAGAACTCACACTTTAAACCGCTTCCAAAGTCAGGATCAGCCTGGATAATGAAATATCTATATCGCCACATTACTTAGCATCTTCAGATGATCTTTATAATTGGTATATATTTTATACTCCTTTCATCCTCAAGGAATGGATAAGTCTACTATTTGAATATTGACTAAAAATAATGATATTTTTTATTTGGTAAATAAATTGAGAGTGTAAAATGCATATGGATTGTAAGTACTAAGTACCCATATCTAATACTTCCTCTATTTAGTCAAAATACATATTTTTTGTTTTTGGTTGTTCAATTCAAGTAACTATTTAATTAAATTTAATATTTTTTTTCATAAATACTCTTGCTTTACTGTTACATACTTTTACACCAACAAGCAGGGCAAAATTGTTTTTACATTACTTTTAACTACTCACTATAATTAAAATACTGCTAAATTAAATTTTTTCATTATAGTCTATCCAAATCAAAATTTTCATTTTTTTTTTAAATAACTCTCAACTAAATACCAAAATACTCTATTTTTTACTTTTTTTCATATTACTTTTCAAGGTAAAATGAACATTATACTATTTTATTACATTACATTACATATTTATAAAATATTAATTTACCTTAATTCGCGTGCAAAAGTCAAAACGAAAAGTTTATCCAGAGGACGGATTGAGTATTATTTTTGAAACTCCGAACATCCTAAATAGCAAAATAGTATTGTTATGGTCAAAAGGGTGTTCGTGAAGGGAGAGTATCCAGCTGTAGAACAGCAACACACCAAAAACAAAGCATAAATTTCCGACACATTTTTGGTAGGAAAATGCCGTAAGTCGAGAGGGAGATCATTTGCATAGAGCCCCTCAAAAGACATTTACTAGAGTACATAATGAGAGCTGTACATGAATTATATTCTTCGAAAGTCACATTCACAGTTAGAACTCCTCAAAGATGCCGAAGGGATCCAAACCTTGGTCGAGGAGGGTCTCCGGACTCATGTTGAATTCTTTTAGGTATGGATGCAGCAGTGCATCCGCAGCACTTATCCTTTTGTGTGGATTCAAGCACAGCATCTTCTGCACGACAAGATCGAGAAACCACCCGATTAATTACTAACTACTACTTATGTACTGATCAATTCCTATTGTAAGCGAAAACATTCTGTTTTATCTCTCACAAAAAACCTTCAACAGCAGCAGCTACATTATCGACTCCTCTTTTGGACTTAGAATGTACTCCATCCGTTCACTAAATTTACTTTCATTTTTCTTTTTCGAATGTCCGTTAAAATTAATCTCATTACTAATTTTGGCAAAATCAAATATTCAACATTTAACTATTACCAACACTTATTTACCATAATTGCTACTACTTTTATTACATTCTATGTTTATTTCATTTAATTACTAACTAAATTTCAAAAGATACCCTTATGCATTTTTCTTAATCTCCGCCAACTCCAAATGTGCTAATTTTTGTGTACTGAGGGAGTAGTTTCCAAGAGAGAAAGTGAAGCTAAACATTGCCTCACCTTTAGAAGGTCGAGTCCTTCTGCTGCGAGGCCAGGAACAAGACTTTCAAGGCCGGTTCTTGATCTATCATCCGGCTATTCCCAATATGAAGAGAAAATTAGCATATACGAATACTAGAAAAGATAAAAATGAATACTAAAAAAATATTCTTTGATTTGATGAAAGACTGACTTGCTATTTACCTCTGTTATTTTACTTCTGTGACATATCTCTGCAGCTCCAGGCAAGTCTTTCTCCTGTGGCATCCCAAATGTTCTTCACAAAAAAGGTCGAAAATCAGGCAATGCTTTGGGGATAAAAGGGCGGACTTCAGTCTTAGTACGTAATTTTACCTTACAATTCGCCTTATTACATCACCTGATAGCTTCCCCTGAAACAGTCGCTTTAGTCTCACAAGCTCAGCAAAAATGCAACCGACAGCCCACATATCAATTGAATTAGTGTACGGGAGTTGAAACAGGACCTCAGGTGCTTTGTAAGGAGTAGTTCCCATCTAAACACAAGAAAATGCTGTAAAGTTATTTTCATTTTTGGCTCTACATACAACTAGAACAAAAACCAAGAAACCGAAGAAATCAGAAGACTGTAATAGAAAATGCAGCAAGATAATAATAACACAGTCGGAGGGCTGTGACCATAATCGAAGGGTTGGAACATATGAAACTTAATACTTAGATCAGATGGCTTTGAAAAATAATCAAGCAAATCTTCAGATAGAGAAAGAGAGGTGTGGTGTAAACGTACATTGCGAGAATACTTTGGATGAGGGACATCAAATGCTCTTCCGAGGCCAAAATCAGCTAGTTTAATGACTCCATCTGGAGCTATGACTACATTACGAGGTTTCAGATCTCGATGCATAATTTTTTGAGAATGACAATAGGTGAGACCTCTAAGTATGCCCAAAAGAATTGTCTGCGGGATGATAAAGAGAAATTTCAATTTATGAATAACTTTACATACGTAGGTGATGTGTATTGAGCCAACATCCAATTCAGGACCGGAAAAAGATTCCAATGATAATCAGATATAAAACAAATCCTTTAGTATATTTGTCGAAATGAAGTATACATCTTTTTCATACAACGCAGCCATGGTAAGCACCCATTGTCTTCCTATTTGGAATTTCATCAACTATAAAATATTTCTATTCTCATCCCGAGTACAAATAATACTGATGAAGTTTGCAGCAGTGCGCCGTACCATGGCCAGGATTACTAAAATGTTGATAGTATTCATTAAGACATTGCTTTATGTTCCAATCATTAATATTATTGGAACTTACAGGAGTTTACCTGTAAGGAACTAAATATAGTATTAAATGTTTAAGACCTGTACACAATACTTGTCGTCGATCTATGCCAAAACTATCTAAAGGTAGAAAGATATCACTCACTTTTATCATATTTGGGTTGATTCCAGTAGTTGCATGCCCCCGGATGTACATGGCAAGGTCACACTTCCCGTACTCCATCACAAGCCTGCAGGCATTGAATGGCAGTTTCTCCACATTGAATAACCTGCTCAGAAAAGTCCACGAAACCATATATCATTTACGGGATCTTTTATTTGGATAGTAGAAATTCAAATTGGGTTGGCTCAAAAGTCGTCAAAACTATGAATTTTGCAATATATACATGATTTAGGACACATTGACTATCCAATGATGTTAAGATATTTCTGTTATTCGCTAGTTTGAGCTAGAACACTACGCTGGATGCTGAAAATTTAGGTGGCTGTTGGACAATTTTGTCCAATATCCACATGCAAAGAAACTTGAATATTTATGGCTGGCTTCTAGTCTCCACTTTTTCATCCGAAAAGTCTTTCAATCAATTATCATCATCGCAATCCACATTAACAATCAGGTCATTTACCTTCTTATCGATGTATGCTACAAAAGAATTAAATGAATGCTGAAAAAAATTGGTAATCAATCATAATAGTCCCAAACATTCTGTTAAGTACCAAGAGATATAACAAGAGATTGAAAAGCATATTTGACTTTGGAATTTGAAAATTTCTGGATTTTTCAAAATTTTGGTTAGTTTTCACAAACCTACACTTCCATTTACAATTAGAAGAAAAACAGAGCTATTGATAGGTATCATAAACTTGTGGCAACTATCAACCACATGTAAGAGAAATGGATCACCTGACAATGTTTTGATGACTCAATTCCCTCAACAAAGAGATTTCCCTCATGATCTCACATGGTAATCCATGTTTTGTATTAGAAAAGTGAATCTCCTTAATAGCAACCTCTCTTTCATATTCGTGGTCAGTGGCCCTATGTACCACTGCAAATCCACCTTTTCCGATAGTATTATGAAGTTCATACTGTATAACAACCAGATAATCACAAACATTACAAGTTACAGATCATATTTAAGAACAAGAAAAAAAAAAAAAAACAGTTGAGCTAACTCTTGAGTTGAGCATTGTGCCTTTCAATGAAATTTTGTGAGTCAGCTGCAAAAAGGAAAAAAACATATATTGAAAACCGAATCTGAACCCAGGAACACAAATAAAAGAAATTGGAACTGAGAAGGAAATAAAATTGGCAGCGGAAACAGTATACAGAACAAAATCGAAAAAGCATTCCAAACATTCTGAATAACCTAATTACAAGAAGAAACCATTGTAGATTCAGCTAAGCACACTTTTCAATTCAAATTCTAATTGACTGATTGCTTCGAGTGCTGTAAAAAAACCGAATAATCACTGAATTTAAGATCTAGGAAGCTTGATATAGAGTCAAATTCAAAATTCCCTAACCTTTTCAACATCCAAAAGACATCAAAATTCTACGGTGGGACTTTGGGGAAATCGGTGGGACTTTGTAGCTTCTCTGCCGGCGGCGAGAAACTGATGCAGTGTAGTGTGAAGCCAAAATGGAGCGAACGAAAACCAGCTTTGAGAAAGAGAAAAGAACCAGGCAACGGCACACAACAAACTGTACCAATTATTGTCTGACACGTGGAACTTTATTTTGGGTGTCTGGATTTTAGTTTTGCAGAATCTCTTTTCCAAAATTATCATACCTCTCTCTATTCTGCTCAAATGGTCACATTTGTCTGTTATCGATTTTTAAATATTAATTATTATATTAAAATATTGAATAAATTAAAAAAATGATAAAATTATTTTTTATAATATTATTATAATGATATTTGTATACAAATATAAAAATATTTTTAATGTTAAAGTAAAAAAAAAAAAATACATGAGACCTTTAAAATTGGGCCGAAAAAAGTATATTTTTAAATCAAATACCTATTTTTTAATTATATTTAATCAAAATTTAGTTTTATATTTCAAATATTAGGTCAATACAATAAAATAACTATTCAAAATTTTACCATTCAAATATTATACCAATACAATAGTCATATTTATTTTTTTTTTAAATAAATATATATATAGATTTTCGAATTTTTATAAACTACTTTGTGATAATATATAAGAAAATTTTTTTCGCCATAGTTAATATTATGTTGTATTAATATATATACATTAAATTGAGATGAAGAGATATAAAATTTTACTATCCACGGAATTACATATATATTATATATTTTTTACAACATTCAAAACATATTTAATTTTATTCTATACAAAATACATATTTTATCATAATTTAACTTACAATCAAACACCGTTGTATTTTACATTAGAATCAAACTTCCAACTACACCACCCAATATACAACCAAAACACATCCTAAATTTCGTCTCGTAAGGGATGGTCTGGTGGTGTAGGGATTGGATTTGTGACCGTATGAACCCCCGACGCCTCAGGTCACCTGCCACACATGATCGCCTATTCCCGTCAGGCCTGATTTGCAGGGTATTAGGTTCGCCTGATTTTACTATTAATAAAACATAATCATAAAAATTTATGAAATATAACATACATAATCATGAAAAAACAATAATATTTATAGATATTTTTCCTTGCTAACATATGACAAATTATTAAATAGAAAATCAATGCAAAGTATTTAGGTATGTATGTTAAAATATAAATGTGTATAATTCTCCTCATTTATTCATTGTAAGGATCAAAGAGTTTGTGATAATATGTCAAAAGGAGGATAATGAAATATTTTATAATCTTTTAATATTAATTATTATATCAAAAACGTATACAAATCAACAAAAACTTGCAAAAATATTTTCGTTAGTGTCTTGTAATACTAATATAAAGATATTTGTACAAAAATATATATATATACAAATATAACGATATTTTTAATGTTAAGTAAAATGACCAAAAAAAAAAAAAGTAATTGTGACCCTTAGAGACGGACGGAATGAGTATTATTTATTTCCCAAAATTTTCAATAAAAATATACTATTTTCTCTCGTAAAATATTATATCGAAATACTATTTAAATAAAAATTTAAACTTAACACTCCAACTAACTCGACATCCACGACTCAGAAAAGTAAGATGTTCTATATAAAAGTTGAGTAGGTAAAAGTAAAGTAGTGATAATATGAAAATTTTACTAAGGTCTTATTAAAAAAGTAATGAGCTTATAGAAAAACTATAACCAAATAATTGTTGTTTATTTATGGATAATAAAATTATGGATGATTATATTTTTTTTACTATAAATAAATAGCAAAATTGCCTTGTAGATTCGAAATTCAACGTAAATTCTCATTTATTTTAAAAATTATATAGCGCTCCTAAAATTTTAAAAATTGTTGCACGAAATCCAATGTGGTTTTAAAATTCACCGTAAATCTCCATTTTATTTTAAAAAATTGTATAATATCCTTGTACTTTAAAAAATATTGTATAAAAACCAGTTATGCAAAACATACAGATAGAAAATCATCTTCTAATCTTCGTGCAACGTTTTTTAAAGTATAAGGTGTCATGGAATTTTTAAAGTATATAGAGATTTTTTGCTAAATTTCGAAACCACGGGTGAGTTATGAACAATTTTAGCTAAATAAATTATTCATAAGATTGGGCTAAAAAAATATGACATAATTATCCTGTATGGAGTATTACTATTATATAAATTATAATTTTCTTTTCTTTTTTCATTTGAATGAATCATGCACCTATTTTATACCCCAAGGTGATAGCAATGTGTAAGAATAAGGCCATAGAACTAACAAAACAGACCTGCTTTTAAACTTGGAGGATTTTCACCTTGTCAAGATTCCAAATTCAGAAAGAGTTCATAACATGTAGGAATCATTGTAAGAACCTAAGAAAGAGATCAAAAAAGACATCAAAGATCACATAGAGGGTTAGGTTCATGCCTGTTAGTACCTTGTGGTTGAAGCTTGCATTCGGATTTTCGGATAATGGCGCAAAGGATATTCAGCTTATTCCTGTAGCAGGAGTTCTTTGGGTTTCAATCCGAATTCTTCGAAAAATGGATGTAACAGCGCATTGGCAGCACTAATCCTTTTATCCGGATTAATGCACAGCATTTCCTGCAGAAGCCGAATTCTTGAATGAACTTAAAATACACAACCATGATTCAACTTTAACTTCAATTTATATTTACTCTTTTGAATTTCAAATTTCATGTATCGATAAAAAGAAAGGACAAACTCAAATTTACCTCTAGAAGATCGAGCCCTTCCTTCGGGAGGCTGGGAACAAGTCTTCCAAGATGTCTCCTGGATTTAATGGTTGGCTATTCCCAATAGGAAAAAGAAAAGAAATATGTGATACAAATTGCAATCTTAGAAAAGAATTCCTTGATTCAATGACAGAGTTGCTGTTACCTCCTGTATTGCAAACTTGTTGCGACAATATCCTGCTGCTCCCGGTAAATCTGCCTCAGTTGGCATGCCAAATATGCTTCAGAAGAAAGGCCAAAACTCAGCGGACTATTTTGGAACAAAAATAGCAGAATTAAATTGACTGAATTTAACCTGATTATGCTCTCCATTACAGTAGCTTCTGAAGTACCAGTAAACAGAGGGTTTCGTGTCACAAGTTCCACAAAAATACATCCGACAGCCCATATATCAATTGAATTAGTGTATGGGAGAGGGAGACCGAGCAACAACTCAGGAGCCCTGTACCGAAGAGATCCAACCTAAAGACATTTTTGTCACTTTTTTTGTAATAGAATAAATTTTCTGTAAGCAGATCTCTGTTATTAAAGAAAATGCTAAGTTCAATAAAATCGAACTCTGAAACAGCTGCGGTCATAATCAATTGTTGGTAGAATGTACCTTCAGTACTCAGATGCATTTCTAAAGACATTCAGAAATTGTTCCAAAATTTTGTTTTGTCGAAAATAATTGACGTAATTTTCAATATAAAAGCAAGTGAAAGAGGGAGATGTAAGCTTACCTTGAGAGAATATTTTGAACATGGAGTATCACATGCCACAGAGAGACCAAAATCAGATAGTTTTATTACTCCCTCATCAGCTATTAGTATACTGCGGGGATTCAGATCTCGATGCATAAATTTTTTTGAATGACAATAGTTGAGACCTTTCAGTATCTGCATAAGAAAATTCTGCGAGAAAAAAATAAAAAATAAGAAATGCTAACTGTAAATTAGCTGATATAGAACAAAAATCCTATATTCTTCAAAAGGAACTACTATATGTAATTTTCATCGAAAGATCAGTTTATTAAAATCAAGTCTGAAGGTAAAAGAAGTTTGAATGATCATGAATGGAACTAAATATAACTAATGGAACAACTATAATTAGCATATATTAAACTATACAAGTTTTCCCGGGAGTCAGATCACCACAAAGAAATCATGTTCAAATCACAAATTTCATAGGTAATACAAGAAGTTTCTAGGAAAGAACTACCTATGTCATTGAAAGTAAACAAATTACAAATTTAGAAAAATTTCAATAGATAATGCTTGTCTAATAAATTAGAGCATTCTTCAGGGGAAAAAGATATGACCCACTTTTGCTATCTCTGGATTTATTCCTTCGAATATATGCGCCTTGATGTAACTGGCAAGGTTACATTGTCCGCATTCCATAATAAGTCTACAGCCGTTTCGATGGCCTGGCACTGTTTCCACTGCGATTAGCCTGCTCATTTTAATGTCAGGGGAACAGAGTGTATGGTTATTGATGATAAGACGATTCATTTTATCGAGTCATTCAAGGCTTAACTTCTAATAACATTATTATGTTCTAAGTGAAACATTAGCTCTTCTGATAATGGCAATTCCTTTAGGTATGCAAGGAAGAAACTGGGATTTTCGAGCCTTTTTCAATGCTATTATTAGCAGAATGAGGGAGAAACGTTGATAGGAATCGTAAACTGTAAGTGTGCTTGTGATAATTCTAACCAACGAAATACTAGCAAAAAATTTCACCTGACAATGTTGACATGCCTCAATTCCATCAACAAAGAGATTTCCCTCAAGACATCAGATACAAAACCGTGCTCTTTATCATGAAAATGGATTAGCTTAACCGAAACAATCTTGTTAAGGTAGCTATCCACGGCCCTAAAGAGCTCTCCACATCCCCGGTGTCCAAGCGGCTCAAGGTGTTCATACTGTAGAGCAAATATATATGTAAATTACACAAGTTAGAGAAACACACAAAAAGGTTTTGCTAGTGCAACCAGTTGAATAATCTGTAAATACTAACCCTCGAGAATAACGCCTCTGCTGTATCAGTCTGATCAGTCATAGCAAGCGGCTTTTCAATTCAACTTCAGCTTAAATGAAACTGTAATATCAAACAACTATTAATAAAAAGGACTAATCTGATACAGAATTTCAGAGCAAGAAATGACAATTCAGTATCATATTCCAATTCGTTCACTCTAATATTCTATAATAATACAAATTGAACAGATTCTCTTCCCCAATTTCAACTTGAATCCAGTGGCTATAATCATCAACAAGATCAATTCGTGCTTCTACATCACCACCAGAACTTTCAATCATAAACCCTAGGTTTCTAAAGAAAAATTAAAATGGAATTGCGAAATCTACAAATAAACAAATTAAACCAGATAAAAACAATGTCACGAACATCAACACCGAGAATTCGAAGGCTAATTAAGCATCCAAAGCTCGCGTAAGAAGAAGAGCAGCATCGCAGATCGAATTGCATCCAAAAATTGGGGAAAATCGGAGAGACTACGTACCTTCTGCGCGGGAGACTCAAAGCGAGGAACGAATGTGAAACCAAAATGGAGCGAAAATATCAGTTTTATTTTGAAAGAGAAAATAATAAATAAGGGCAACGGGTCTCAATAAACTGCACCAATTACAGACTGACGCGTGGATTTCAGTTAACTTCTACTTTTAACCGTTAACCTAATTGTGTATTATACCTTAATATTTTATAAAAATAGTATAATACCCCCTCCGTCTGTGCAGAATTACATATATATCCTTAGTATTTGAATTATTTACTCTATCAATGTAACTGTATTTATATTATAAGAGACTAATAAATATATTTTTATCTTTTTCTCTTCATTTATGTCATATAATAATTAATATTAAAAGACTAACATGCAAAAAGTCAAAGACAAGCTTACAATGGAACTGATAAATTATATTTTGTATTTTATTTACTTCATGAAATTTACTTCCATTAATATAAATATAAAGTGTGTTTCAAATAAACTTCTCATCCTAACTTAATGAGGACTAAAGATCATGTTGATGACTAATAAAAATAAAAATTGTGCAATTTTAAAAAAGTTTATTAATATGAAAAATAATCATAATAAAGAACATTAGTTAGGTACTATTGTCCCCCTAATATAATTGACAATGCAAAATATAGGACACGATACATATTATAATTAATCTCAAAATATATGACATTAACATCAGAGACATACACTCTCTTCGTCCCAAATCAAGAAAGTTTATTTAAATTTTATAATAAATTAAAAAATAATAATATTTTATTAGTTAGTTAAAATATTAATCAGTTTTTACTATTTTCTCTCCGTCCCGAAAAGAAGTATTCATTTGCTTTTTGCACGTAGTTTTAAAAATATTAGTATTATATTGGGATATAGTAGGAATAAAGTATAAATGACTAAAATAATCTTGTTAGTATGTGTGATATAAAGGTAATGGCATATGTGTAATATATTGTAAGTTGTAAGGGTATTTGTAATGTTAGGTAGATAGTAACAGTTAATTAAAAAAAAAAAAAATAGATACTTTTGTTTTTGTTACGTGACAGACTAAAATGGAAAAATGGATACTTTGTTATGGGACGGAGGGAGTATATAAAATAATTGTATCTATAATAATACAAAGAGAAAATACATACTTCCTTCGTCTCATAACTAGGTATATATTTGTTTTTTGCACGTAATTTTAGAAATATTAGTATTATATTTGGATGTAGTAGGAATAAAGTAAAAATGACTAAAATAACTTTATTAGTATAGTATAATATAAAGATAATGACATTTATGTAATATATTGTAAGTTGTAAGGATATTTGTAATATTAGGTAGATAGTACAGTTACTAACAAAAAAATAAATACTTTGTTATGAGACGGACTAAAATAAAAAAAAAAATGAATACTTTGTTACGAAATGAATGGAGTAATATATTACATTTTCATGTACAGATTGAGGCTATCGGTATGGAATTGTACAGTAGTCATTCCCAAAAATAAAATAGGTAACGTCTTGTGTTTATTTGTATTCGTTGAATCTCGATTGTAGATAAATAAAAATGATGTGTATCTTTAAAAGCTTAAATTATTAGGTGAGTAGATTATTTACTTCATCTAACGTTTTTATTTTATTTTTAAAAAAATATTAAATCAAATATATTTTTTCTTTCACGAAATATCAAATTAAATACTAATTTTTTACCTTTTTTTTTTTCAAATTTTCAAAAACTTCCAAAAGTTTCTATATAAACAAAGCCTATTTGTTTCCAATTTTTGAAGAAATTGAAATAATACTCTTGTACTATTTATTTGTTTATTTATTTATTTTGACGGTTCGATTTAGTTACGTGTTTCAAAATAAAATTAATTTTGGCTCCATTTTGGTTTCACATTGTTTGATTTGAGTTTCCCGCAAAGAAGGTAAGTAATCCCTCTCTCTCTCTCTCTCTCTCTCCAATTTTTGATGCGATTCCATCAGATGCTTGCTTGATTGTGTTTCGTATTCTCTCGATGTTTATGTATTTTGGTATCTGTTTTTTTTTTTTCATTTCGGAATGTTATTTTACTTCTTTCTCTGGATAATTTGGATTTATGCACTGTGAATGAATCGTTTTTGCTTAATTGAAAGTTCAGGCGTTGAGATGATTATAGCCACTCAATTTCAAGTTAAATTTGTGAAAGGATTACGCAGATAATTAGTTCAATATGATTTCGTATAGTTTTTTGGAAGTTCGAACAGTTAGCAAATTTGTATTTGACGCTGAAGTGTAAATCATTGATCTGAAGTTGTGGGAGGAGTTCTACTCAATAATTTTATTTTGATAATTACAGTTCCATTAAGGGCGAACTTGAATTGAAATTCAGAGGTTTTTTCAATTTTCGTTGCTGTATATATTGTTTTCCCTTCAAGATTTTCTTCAATCTCCATTTTATTTTCTATGCCACTCTGATTTCCTCTATGTGCCTAAGTTGCTCTGTTTCCCGTTCCTTCTGTGCAGAAACTAAATTCAGTTTTTTAATTTTTTATTTTTCTTTCTGTAGCCGATTGCTATGGGTCCTCCTATGAACGCACTCCGGAGGGTTAGCATATACCTTTTGTACTACAGAATCGTTCTGATTCTTTTATGTGTTTTCTCTAACTTTTGTAATCTGTGATCATCTTCATGTTCTTCAGTATGAACTTCTTGATCTAGTTGGAGAAGGTAGAAATGGAGAGGTCTATAAGGCCCAGAGTGAGATTAATTCGATTGTTGCCGTTAAGATAATTCCTTTTTATGATAAAGAGAATGCTTTTCCATCTGACGTCATGAGTAAAATCTCTTTGATGGAGGAGTTGGAACATAAAAACGTCGTCAGGTGATATTTCTCATTTCTCATGTATTTGGTCGATAATAGCATTAGCACAAGCACAATTTCAGTGTATGATTCTTATCAATATTTCTTCCTTAGCCTACTAGTTACCGCTTGCATACCTATGAAATTAGGCTCATGAGCAGAACTAATGTTCCACTTATAACTTAGATAATGGCAATAGAAATTAGATTCTGATTGATAGACTGTCTTTTTCCGTCTTTCATTTATTTCGTTAGTGGATGCGTCGAGTACTATTTAAGTAGAGAGATTGTTTTGAAGAATAGTGATCATTCAACTTAATTATATCACAGAACATGTCGAGAAGTCATTGATCTGAATGAATTTGAATATGAACTGAGATGATGAAATTTAACTTAAAGTGAATGTAAGACAATACTGCGTGAATTCGTTACATAGTTTTCCACCAGAGTGAGTCTAAGATTATTTATGGAGCAATCATTTGTATCAATTGTTGTTAACAGAAGCAAGAACTTAACAACCCGATGAACATGCATGTCTTACTATCAATAGCTATACACTTTTTTGCCCTATATCGTTCAAAATGGAGTAGGAGTCATTTTTATCCGTAGTAGTCAATCATACAAACAGGGAATTTCATTACATTTTCCGTTAAAAAGGGAGACTCCAGAAGATGTATTATATTTACGTGGGTTTCGGTGATCAGGCTACTTACTGTGGAAAAGCTGGAAGACTATTCATATGGCTGTAAGCTTATTATGGAGTTCGCAAGCTCTAACCTTTCCAGGTACATCAGAGAGAATGCGAAGAGCGGAATATGTCCCCAACAGGCAAAAGTGGGTCATAGTTTTTGCCCTGAAGAATGTTCTACTTTATTTAGACAAGCTTTATCTAAAGAAAAATTTATCAAAATTTGTATTATGTTAAACTTAATTAATATACGTAGTTCTTTCCGAGCAACTTCTTGTATTGCCTATGACATCTGTGATTTGATCATGATATATCTCCAGTGATCTCTCGGAAAATTTGTATTCTCCGTATAAACACTCCACAGCATGCTTTCATCATAATTTAGTATGTGGTAGTTATCGTTGTTGTACCTTTTTACTTCAATTAATAGAGGATGCTTATTCATCCAAATTCCTGTGAACTTTCAACTCGATTTTAATGTATTATTGTTCATTCCTAAGAATGCAGGAATTTATTCTATATGAACTACGTCATAGTTATCATTGTTTTCTTTTCTTGCAGCTATTTCTTATGCAGATACTGAAAGGTCTCAACTATTGTCACTCTAGAAAAGTTATGCATCGAAATCTGAAACCTGCAAATATACTACTAACTGCCGATGGAGTAATAAAGCTAGCTGCTTTCGGTAGCAGCGCCGCATTTGATGTTCCTAGTCTACAAAATAATCACAATGTATGTTTACATCTCTCTCTTTCACTTGCATTTATATCGAAAATTATGTTACTTGTTTTCCATAAATCCACAATTTTTTCAAACAATTTCTTAACGCCTGTAGAAGTGCATCAGAGTACTAGAGGTACATTTTATCTACAATTTATTATGGCAGCATCTGTTTCGGAACCTCTGATTATATTGAACTTTGCATTTTCTCTAACAATACAGTTTCTCTGAAACTTTTTCTTTATTACAAAAAATAATGCCTACTGAAAATTTCTTATGCTAAAAACCAAAAGCGAAAAATGAAACATTAGCTCTTGCTGTGTTTAGGTTGGAACTCTTCGGTACAGGGCACCTGAAATGCTGCTTGGTCTGCCATACACTAATTTGGTCGATATCTGGGCTGTCGGTTGTATTTTTGTTGAGCTTCTGACATTAAAACCTCTGTTTGATGGAACTTCAAATACTGCTGTACTGAGGAGCATATTCAGGTTAAATTCAATCAATTGAATTCTACTATTTTTATTTCAAAAGTTTCGCTGAGTTTTGGCCTTTCTTCTGAAGCATATTTGGCGTGCCGACTGAGACAGATTTTAAGGGAGCCTCATCATATTTTCTCAACACGCTTGCAATAGAGGAGGTAACACAATCTTTTTTAGTTTTTCCTAATATTCTAATTTTATATAAGGGGTATTTTTCTTTTAGTCCCGTACACGACCCTTATCATTTTTGAACCGTAGTTCGATCTCGTATTGATTTAGTCCCACAATTATAGAAAAAAATGACAGAAATGATCCTCAGGCATCGGAGTTGCTGACATGACAGCGTTTGTGGCACGTCGGAGATTGTGTAGATGACAAGTGGACAATATTTAAGGATCATTTCTGCTTAAATTTTTTAGTTATGGGATTAATCTAATATAGAGTCTAGTTAGATTCTAAAATGATAAAGAATGTTACATACGGGACTACAAAAAATAGTTTTTACTTTATATCACAGATCATAATTGTTCTTGGAATGTACTATATAATCCATATGCTTCTTTTTCTTTCCCTCTTTGGAACAGCCAACCATTAAATACCGGAGAAGCCTTGCACGTCTTGTTCCCATCCTCTCGGAGCAAGGACTCGACCTTCTAGAGGTAACTATTGAGTATTTCATCTTTGTTGGTACTCGAAAATTTGAATTCAAATAAATAGCCTTACCTTTCGAGTTTTCGGCTTCTACAGAGGATGCTTTGCATTAATCCATGTAGAAGGATTACTGCTGCGAACGCGCTGGTGCATCCATATTTCAGAAATTTCTTTACGCAAACGTTTGCCCGCAGAATCCTCGAACTAAATTCTTAAACATCCTTCACTCCATCATATGAAAATCAAAGTGCATATATTCCAGCTTCGGACAACAGGTACGTAATAAAAAAACAAGAACCGAACCCCCTTTTCGCCTTTTGTGATATTTTACTTAGTATGAACTAAGTGTACCCACTATCGTTCTCAAATGTGCAGTATGTCTCTTTTCTTACAGCTGCCGTTACGACAAATAGCTCTAATAAGATTAGCTCACTGCGGGTAGATTGTTTCTTACATTTATAATGCTCACGATTTAATATTAGATCAACTATATACTTAATTGTTTGAGGTCTGGGTAAATTCTCAACCGAACTTAATAGCTTGCAAACTATATAGATAATTGGACTGTTGGTTTATTCTTACATATTTCTGTCCATGGCAATGAAACATAAATGGAATATAATTCATCCCGACGAGAAAAAAAATATATTATAAACATTTTAGGATTGTACTCAACAGTTTGAACACATTACACACTCGGATTAATAGCCCTTATACTTCTTCTATTCGTGCTTGATTTCGGGTAGAAAGTTATAACAATATAGATTATGTACTTTTATACTAGCGACATAAGTTATTTGTGTATCTATAATTAATGCTTACTCCGTCTCACATAATTTGTTATTTTTTCTATTTTGTCCATTCCACTTAATTTATCTTTTTCTTTTTTGAAATATAATTATAACAGAATTAATCATATTTTCAAAATTTATAATTTTTTTTATTTTAATTAAACTATTTAGTCATTTTAATATTAATCTATAATTATTTTTATTAATATACTTATTAATTACTTACTGATTATCGTAATACTTAAAACTCCATTTTTCAGCTAAAATGGACAAATTAGTTGAGACTGATGAAATATATTTTAGAAATAATAAATAAAGTATGAAATTTTTTGTGCATAAAAGTATTGTACAAGTTTAAATAAATGTAACAAATATAATAAAAATATTCATGGTAATAAAGATATAAAATAGAATGTTTTAGAAAAATAATTAAAATAATGCATTCAAAAATTTATTTTATTTTATTTTATTTTATTTAAAAAAAAAGGATGAATAAATGCATGTCCTATAATATACAACAACAAATCAAATGAAATATACAAAAAATAAATTGAACGGTAATTATGTACTTTAAAATTCAAATGTTTTTACAATAACGCAGCGTGCCAATGGAGTACTAACATGCCATTCATATTCATACATATAAAAATAAAATTATTTTTTTATAAATACCACTTATTTTTTTTGACAAATGCACGGTCTGACCTTTATAGGCTTGAGCACGGCCCGAAAAAATTCGAGCCTATTTTTTTAGACCTAAGCACGATTTTTTTTTTTTTGCCAGATTCGGACCGAATTTTCAGATCGTACTTATTTTTGTCACTTCTGTATAATCCATACGCTTCTTTTCTTTCACTGTTGGAAATAGCCAACAAAAGTCGAACCCAAGGTAAGCCTTGCACGTCTTGTTCCCAACCTCCCGAAAAAAGGACTCGACCTTCTACAGGTAACTTTGAGTCTTTATTCTCCGTTGGTACCGGAAATTTGAATTCAAATAAATAGCCAACCATTCGAGCTTTTCTTGGCTTCTACGGAAGATGCTGTGCATTATTCCGTGTAGAAGGATTACTGCTGCCAATGCTCTGCGGCATCCATTTTTCAACGATTTGTAAGCAGAACGCGCGAGGAATCCTAAAGATCAGTTACAAAAGGTAACAAAAAAATAAGAATCGAACCCTCTTTTGGCCTTATGTGTTTTTTTTTTGCTTAGGATTCACTTCAGAACTAAGTGTACACACTATCTCGAATGTGCAGTACATCTCTCTTAGCTTCTTTTCTTACAGTTGTCGTTCGACAAATAGCTCTTAAGATCTGTTAACTGTAGGTAGATGATTTCTTACATTTATAATGCTCACAATTTAATATCAGATCAACTATATAACTAATTGGTTGCGCTCTGGTTAAACTCTTAATCAAATTTAATAGCTTGCAAATTACATAGCTAGTTGTATAATTGGTTTATTCTTACATATTTATGTTCATGGCAGTGAAACATAAAATGGGATTATGATTAATCCAGTCGAAAAATAAAAATTATTACTCCCTCCGTCCCAGATACCATGTCCACGTTGCCGTTTTTATCCGTCCCACGTAACATGTCACTTTCGGAAAATGATTACACATTTATTCTCATTTTAAATTTTTAAATTTTATTTTTTTTAATTTTAATTAAACTAATTAGTTATCTTAATCTTAATTTATAATTATTTATATTATAGGATAATTATTTTCACTAATATATTCTTAATTATCTACTAATTACATTCATACTAAAATATCGTGTCTATAGTATAGCAGACACGGTATCTGGGACGGAGGGAGTAAGATTTTAGGATTGTACCTCAACAGATTGAACACATTACACACTCTGCTCATATACTTCTTCTATTCGCTCTTGATTTCGGGTAGAAAATTATAATTATAATAATATAGATCATGTACTTTTATACTAGCTTGTAAATTGTGTTGTGCACTAGCTTATGTATAATTAATGCTTCCTCCATCATCCAATTTTATGCTTATTTGATCGAACACGGATTTTAAAGAAAATAAATAAATGGTATTTTTTTACTAAAAAGAAAAACGGAAATAAATTTAAATGAAAAAAAAATAAGAATAAGTTTGGATGATGAGTATATTTTAAAAATAATAAATGAAGTATGAAATATGAGTATTGTATACATTCAAATAAATATAACATATATAATTAAAATATCTACGGAAATAAAGACATTAAATAGAATGCTTTAAAAAATATAGAAAAATAATACTCCCTCCGTCCATTTTCTATTGTCCTAAAGTATATTTGCACGGTTTTTTAAGTGACTGTCTTTTTGTTATGAATGGACAAATTTACCCTTAAGTGTACAGTAGATATTAGAAGTAATAAATGAATTAAAGGTAAAAATATAAAATTTGTGTTTTAAAAAAGAAATAGGACAATAGTTGTTAACGTCCCAAATAGAAAAAGTAGGACATTAGATTGTGGATGCAGGGAGTACAACATTCTAAACATTAAAAAAAAAATGAATAAATGCACATCCTATAATATATAACAACAAATAAAATGAAATATAAAATTAATAAATTAAATATTAACAAAATCTAATTATGTATCTTAAAATTCAAATATTTTTACAATAACAAGTTTGAAAACTCATGGTATGTTCTCTTGGAAATAATTTTCTTAATACTTTAATTATTTATCTTTTACGATTCTTTACAAAAAAGTATATCATTCTCTCTTACAAAACATCACATTCAAATAGAAAAACTAAATATATATACCAACCAAACGCGCCGTCATAATTCACTTATCACTGGAAAAAAAGGCTTTTGAAATGTTGAAACTTATAGAAGAATTTCCTCGATAGAAAGCGTAAGGTTTCCTTTGTACACAGGGATAGATACATGATTTTCGATTTATACTTTGTGACGGTGTGGCAACCCGAAGATTCTTTGTTAATAATGGCGTACCTATTTTTGTACGCAAAAATCAAAAGCAACCGCAAGTTTCACTATGCCCACGGAGCATGTTGAGCTTCTCATCCTCGTCAATATCGTGCAAAAAAAAAATTTATGTCGGGGACATATCCTCCCTTGACCATCAAAACCACATAGCACATCCAATAGCTCAATAATAGACCATACTCCTATTAAATATATATGTACATATATCATATACGATTACAACTATAAAAATTAATTTTTGATAGAATAAACACAATTAATAATACAATAAATTATTAAAAAACAGATCAAAATATTCTTATAGCGAGATCTACTATTCTTCGAGTGCGCTTTGAGGAAATTATCTTTCTTGTTTGGATGAATCATAATCTCATATTATGTTCAATTTCCATGAGCAGAAATATGTACGAATAATAAAGCAAACAATTAGCTAGCTATATAGTCGATCTGATATTAAATTGTGAGCATTTTTTACCTCAGCATAATTCCAAATTCCGAAAGAGTTCATAGAATGTAAGAAATCGTCTACCTACATTTAACAGATCTTAAGATCTATTTGTCGTAACGACAACTGTAAGAAAAGAAGCTAAAAGAGATATACTGCACATTCGAGATAGTGTGTACACTTAGTTCTGAAGTGCATCCTAAGCCAAAGAAAAAAAAAACACATAAGGCCAAAAAGAGGGTTCGATTCTTATATTTTTGTTACCTTTTGTAACTGATCTTAAGGAGTCCTCGCGCGTTCTGCGTGCAAATCTTTGAAAAATGGATGCCGCAGAGCATTGGCAGCAGTAATCCTTCTACACGGATTAATGCACAGCATCTTCTGCAGAAGCCAAGAAAAGCTCGAATAGTTGGTTATTTATTTGAATTCAAATTTCCGGTACCAATGAGGAAGAAAGACTCAAAGTTACCTGTAGAAGGTCGAGTCCTTTTCTCGAGAGGTTTGGAACAAGACGGGCAAGGCTTATCCTGGGTTCGACATTTTTTGGCTATTCCCAACAGGGAAAAAAAAGAAGCATATGGATTGGATTATATAGTACACACGAAGAACAGTTATGATCTGTGATATGAAATTAGAATTTTAGAAAAAGACTTGCTTGATTCAATGATAAGAGTTTCTGTTACCTCATATAATCCAAGCTTGTTGTCAAAATATGACGAGGCTCCCTTAAGATCTGCCGGAGTCGGCACTCCAAATATGCTTCAGAAAAAAGGCCAAAACTCAGCTCTAACCTTTCCGAGGAAAAATCGAAGAATTTAATCGACTGAATTCAACCTGCCTATGCTCATCATTACAGCAGGATTTGAAGTTCCATCAAACAGAGGTTTTGATGCCACAAGCTCAGCGAAAACACAACCCACAGCCCAGATATCGACCAAATTGGTGTACGGCAGAGCAAGCAGCATTTCAGGTGCCCTGTACCGAAGAATTCCAACCTAAACACGACAAGAGTCGGTGTTTCATTTTTCACATTTTGGTTTTTAGCATAATAAATTTTTCAGTAGGCAGAATTTCGTGAAATACAGAAAAAGTTTCAGTATTGTTCAAGAAAATCCAATATAATCGAGTTCTGAAACAGCTGCTGCGATAATAAAGGTAAAATGTACTGTCTAGTACTCATGCATTTCTACAGTCATTAAGAAATTGTTCGAAAAAATTGTGGATCTCTGGAAAACAAGTAACATGATTTTCGATATAAATGCAAGTGAAAGAGAGATGTGAACATACATTGTGATTATTTTGTAGATTAGGAACATCAAATGCGTCGCTGCTACCAAAACCAGATAGCTTTATTACTTCGTTGGCAGTTAGTAGTATGTTTGCAGGTCTCAGATTTCGATGCATAACTTTTCGAGAATGACAATGCTTGAGACCTTGAAGTATCTGCAAAAGAAATAGCTGCAAGAAAAGAAAACAATGATAACTGTGAAGTAGTCATAAAGAACAAATTTCTGCATTCTTATAAATGAACTATGTGTGATTATCATGGAAACAACAATACATTAAAATCCACACGAAAGTTTACAGAAATTTGGATGAATAATTGTCCTCTATCAATTAAAAAAGTATAATAACAATAACTAGCACATGCTAAATTACGATCATGAAAGCATGTTGATCGCCGCAGATGATCAATATTTCATTAGATAATGCTTGTCGAAATAAAAAAGAGCATTCTTCAGGGCAAAAAAGAAATGACTCACTTTTGCCTTTTCTGGAGGTATTCCTCTTTTCGCATGCTCTACGATGTACCTGGAAAGGTTCGATTCTCCGTACTCCATAACAAGTCTACAGCCATATGAATAGCCTGGCAGCCTTTCCACAGTATGTATCCTGATCACCAAAACCCACAAATTTACTACATTTGCTGGAGTCTTTCTTTTCAACAGCAAATGTAATGAAATTCCCTGTTTGTATGATTAACTAAAATGGACAAAAACGATTCCTACACAAATTTGAATGATATCGAGCAACAAAATGTGTAGTTATTGATAGTAAGACATGTCTATCTATCAAGTAGTTAAGTTCTTGCTTCTGTTAACAAAAACCAAGTAATGGATAAACTATGTAATGAATACAAGCAAAGAATCAAGACTTTTCATTGCCTGCTTCTGATTTTGCAGTAATGCTTAAATGCACTTTTAAGTAAAATTTCATCATCTCAGTTCATATGAAAATTCTTTCAGATCAATCACTTCTCGACATGTTTTATGATAGAATTTAATTGAATGATCACTATTCTACTAACGAAAGAAATGAAAGATGGAGTGGACAGTGCTACTATCAACCAAATACATGAGAAAACCATTACTCTTTGTTATGAAAAGAAATTATCTTAACCCTGTTATCACCTGATAACGTTGTTATGTTCCAACTCCGCCATCAAAGCTATTTTTCTCATGACATCAGATGGAAAACCAGACTCTTTATTATGGAAAGGAATTATCTTAATGGCAAAAAGCCTCGTAAGTTTCAGGTCCACGGCCTTATAGACCTCTCCATTTCTACCTTCTCCAACTAGATCAAGAAGTTCATACTAAAGAACATGAAGATGATCACAGATTACAAAAGTTAGAAAAAACACATAAAAGAATCAAAATGATTCCATAGTACAAAAGGTAAATGCTAACCCTCCTGACTGCGTCCACAGGAGGATTTGTAGTCGGCTACAGGAAATAAAAAATAAATAAAATTAGTTTCTTGACAGAAGGAACTGGAAACAGATCAACTTAAGCACACAAAGGAAATCAGAATGACAGAAAATAAAATGGAAATTGAAGAAAATCTTTGAAACATGAATTCCTTAGTTAGCCAAAGAGGCCATTGAAGATCAACCCAAATACCCTTTTCAATTCAAGTTAGGCTTTAATGGAACTGTAATTATCAGAATAAACGAATAGAACTCCACAAATTTTCTGATCAATGAATGACACTTCAGTATCAAATTCAAACAGAATAACATAAAGGTGATCACAATTACACAAGTTAGAGAAAAGGCATAAAAGAATCAAAATGATTCAGTAGTACAATAGGTAAATACTAACCGTAGTGAATGTGACCATTGGAGGATTCATAGCAATCGGCTACAGGAAATAAAATTGAATAAATAAACAAATAACTATGAATTTAGTTTCTGGACAGAAGGAACCAGAAACAGTAACAGATCAACAACAGCACACAAATGAAATCAAAATGGGATATAAAATGAAATGGAAATTAAAGAAAATCTTTAAAGGAAAGAATGTATACAGCAAAGAAAATTCAAGAATCTTTGAAACACTACTTATTTAGCCAAACAGCCATTAAAGGAACTGCACTTTCAGATCATTGAACGACGCAATTCAGCTTCAATTTCAAATTCGTTAACTGTTCGAACTTCCAAAAAACTATACGAAATCATATCGAACTGATTATCAGCGTAATCTTCTCACCGCCTGAACTTTCAATTAAGCAAAAACGATGCATTCACACAGTGCACAAATCCTGATTATCCAGAGAAAGAACTAAAACAAAATTCCGAAATGAAAAAAAAAAAAAAAAAAAAAAAAAAAAAAAAAAAAAGATACTAAAATACATCAACATCCAGAATACGAAAGACAATCAAGCATCCAAAGCTGGCGTCACCAATGGAATCCAAACGAATCGCATCAAAAATTGGGGATAGCGAGAGAGAGAGACTACTTACCTTCTCTGCGGAAAACTCAAATCGAACAATGTGAAAACAAAATGGAGCCAAAATTAATTTTATTTTTAAAGAAACGGTAATAAAAATAATAATAAAATAAATAAATAACCGTCAACCTATAATTGTAACGGTCAGATCGTCATCCATATTTAGGGTGTGTTGATTGGAGATTGGATTTTGGGTTTGTATTTAACTAAAATAAATTTTTTATTGAAATTATTATTTGATTTAACAAAATCTAAGATTAATGAAGTGTAACAAAATGAAAAAAAAATAATAATAATAATAAATGAAACTATTGACATAGAGTAAGGCGTGTTCGATATAGAGAATAAAATTTCATAAAAATGATAAAAAAAAATAAAAAATAAAAAATAAAAAATTGAATAGGAATTAATTTTTATATTTGATAACAGACAATTCATGCCGAATAGAGTAAAAAAAAATTGGATAAATTGATCTAGATGAGATTGTGTATTAGGAGTAAAAATAAAAGAGTGAATTAATTATGAAAAATGATAAATAAAAGATAATTTTATTAAGAAAAAAAATTTGTGAATAAATATTGTCATATTTAACAGTAATTTTTAAATAATAATAATAATAATTTTTATATGAATTTTTATAAAAACTTGGTTTGAATTCGTTTGTGAATATAAACAAATCAAGCCGAACAATATAAACATGCTCATTTTGTTAACGAACTAGCCTGAGCCTTGTTCACGTACGTTTGTTAAAAAATAAATATATAAAATTTTTAATATATAAAAACTAAATAATAAGTATATTAATTCGAAAATAAATATATAAAATTATTATTTGAAATAAATAAATAGAATATTATATATATAAATTAAAAAATAAAATATTATAGTTATCTAAACGAGAGCCTGAACACGAACTCGAATATTAAAATTTCTGAACAAACTGAATTTGAATAATACGAACGAGTTCGAATTTTTAACGAACGGACACGAGTCTTGTCTGCAAACATTAACGAAGATATTTTGAAAGTATACTATGTAATTACATGTAACATAATATATATTAATTTTAGAACACTATGACAATAAGCAAATTATACAACACAATATAATATATAATCCACACAACAAATATTAATACTGTATATATCACATAACGTTATATAATTCGCCGTGTCCTAATATATGTTGATTTCAACATAATATATAACCAACACAACACATGTTTCTATATATATCACAGTATGTTATTTGTTTTATTATAAAATATTAATTATTTCAAGTTAATATGCTAACTTAGTTAAATTAATATGATGTTGATTTGACTTGTCAGTACATTAATAGCCGCCAAAGAAAATATACAATATGAAGTAATAGCATATACTTTATATTAATATAATACAAATACTTCATCCGTCTCATAACTAAATATCAATTTATTTTTTGCACGTAGTTTTAAAAATATTAGTATTATATTGGGATGTAAGCAGGAATAAAGTAGAAATGATGAAAATAACTTTATTAGTATGTGTGATATAAAAGTAATGACATTTGTGTAATATATTATAAATTGTAAGAGTATTTATAATATTAGGTAGATAGTAAAGTTAAAAAAAAAAGAAATTGATACTTTGTTATGGGATTGATGGAGTATAATATATATATATATAAGTATATAAATTATAATAAAAGACAATAATAATGGTCCAACAAATGAGTTGTTTTATTTCAAATGTTATGATATGGGATGTATTTGGTTTTTGTAAAATAAAAATATTTTTTTTTTAAGTATATGAAATTATATAAGTAATATAAAAATAAATGTTATGTAATATATTAATTTTTTAATAGAGAAAATATGTGTGTCATTTTTAGGAAAAAGAACACACTTGTAATCTTTACAAAAGAAGTATAAACATATAGTACAAAATTATAAGATAATTATATTTACATCCATATAAAATAAACCCATTAATATTTTCCTTTTATCAACACTATCTAATTATTAATTTTAAAAATGATTTGAAGACTTATACATTTATTTAATATGAATTTTATTAATATCTATTTATATAATAATTTATTAAAAAATTAAAAATAAATATTTTATTACTACTCAATTTGTGTTTTATTTTTTGTTGTTTTATTGTTATTGTTATTGTTTTTTTATAAGGTCCGGTAAATCATTGCCGAACATAGTATCCTGCAAACTAAGACAAAATAATACTCCTTTAATGAAGTTTGAGTTTTTAATAATAAATTTTTGAATCAAAATAATATATATCATTAAACTATCTATATAATTTATCTTCTGCATATACTTATATAAATATTATACTCCCTCCGTCCCAAACACCCTGCAATATTTCTTTTTTGGTATGTCTTAAATACTCTGCAATATTTTTAAAATAGGAAATAATTAATTATATTTATATCTCCCACTTTATCCCCTCATATCGTCCAAATAAAAAAATAAAATATATATTTCTCTCTCAATCAGATCACCTAATTTCTAAATTATCTTATTTAATATTACCCACCTAAAAACTCGTGTTAAAAGTAAATGTTGCACCTTAATTTGGGACAGAGAAAGTACTATTTTTTATTATTTTTCTGTGGCAATTGGGTTCTACATTTTTTATTTTTTTATATTTCACTGATATTCTTATCAATATTCTTGAAATGAAATTCAAAAGTTCTTTTGATCTTAAGATCATTAGTACAAAGTTAAAGGTGATACAAAGTTAAAGGTGATGGTTTATCTTGTTCTACTTATATTACAAGTCATTATATGATCCAAGACTACAATTAGACTTAGATAGTACTTAGATTTACACTTTCAAAAATAATTAAAGAAAATTTAATTTATATCTAAAGTAAATAAAGGGGAAAAAAATATCCAATAAGACAAAACTTGTTAGGATGTCTTTGTTTCAAGGATTTTGAAATATTTCCATTATTTACAGTTAAATATTCTTTCCAAAAATATTAAATCAAAAAATTATTATTATTTTTTTATATTATATTAAAAATTAATTTTACATTAAAACATAAGATTGTATATCTATTCCAATTAAAATTGTTTACTATTAAAATCTCAATCCAAAATCCAAACCTCTCGAAACAGACAACCTACCATCATCTTTAAAAATCCAATCTTTATGCATGCACTTCGATGCAAGTAGAGTTTCTCCACACGCATCCAAATTCACACCTCTGGTAATCTTCAATTATTTTTATTTTCCCATTTTAAGCTCATATTTCCTCAATATATATATATATATATATATATCCATTATCAAAGTTCCCTGATTAATAGAACCTTAAATTCCCCAAACACATACAAGAAACCTCCATGGCAGCAAAACCCTCAAAACCTTCAACCAAATCCCTGACCCTAATCTTCCTCATCTTCCTGTTCAATCTTAATCTCAACGAAGCCGCAGGTTTCAGCGTCGATCTCTTCCACCGCGACACCTTCCTCTCCGATTTTCCGGCGAACTCCTCCGATCGATTTCTCCATGTTCGAAATGCTCTGCGGCGTTCACACGGCCGTGTTCAATCAAAATTCTTCGCCGACGTCGTTGTCGACAAGGGCGACTATGTAATGAAATTCTCCGTCGGAACGCCGCCTGTTCCCGACGGCGGCCACCGTCGACACCGGCAGCGACCTGACGTGGATACAGTGCAAACCTTGCTCCAAATGCTTCCGACAAGACTCCCCCTTCTTCGACCCCAATCTCTCCTCCTCGTACATTACCGCCCCCTGCAATTCCGACACGTGCAGACAAATCGGAAACATGCGAGCTCCCTGTAAAAACAACACCTGCGGCTATGGCGTCCAGTACGGCGACCTGTCAGTCAGCAAAGGCGAAATCGCCACCGACACGATCAAAATCAGCGACACGTCACTCCCCAATTTCATCATCGGCTGCGCCGATCACGCCCACGGCACGTTCGGGCTGGGCTCGGCGGGGATCGTCGGGCTCGGCGGAGGAAAGCCGTCGCTGATAAGACAGCTCGGGAAGAAGATCGAACACAAGTTTTCTTACTGCCTCGTACCGTTATTCAGCGAGGGTAGTAAGAATTCGTCGAAACTCAATTTCGGTCAAAACGCCGTCGTTTCAGGCGCCGGAGTAATTACCACTCCGATCATCCCCAAATTGCCGGAGACCTTCTACACGCTAGACCTGAAAGGGATGACGGTGGGGAATCAACGGCTGGATTTGCATCCGTACTCAGCATCCAACGGCTCAAAACAGCGGGAGGAATCTGACGCCGGCGGGAACATAATTATCGACTCCGGCACGGTGCTGGCGTATTTTCCGGCGAGATTTTATTCTCAGGTGAAGCGAGCTGTGAGGAGGGAAATGGAGCTGCCGGGGACTTTAGATCCAGGGGGGGTCCTGGATCTGTGCTTTAGGTCGAGAGTGGGGGCGACTGTGTCTTTTCCGGCGATGACGGCGCATTTCCGGGGGGCGGATGTGGGGCTGAAGCCGAAGAATTTTTTTGTGCAGACGAGCGAGAGGAGTTTGTGTCTGGCTTTTGCAAGATCTCCAGGTCTCCGGCATGGCGCCATTTACGGGAGTATTGCGCAGGGGAATTTTCTGGTGGGATATGACTTGCAGAAGAAAACGGTGTCGTTTAAGCCTGCCGACTGTGCCGGCGGCGGCAAGTGATATATATATATATATATATTTATATGTATATGTGTGTGTGCTGCTGAGAATTTTAGGGTTTTATTCCCTGTTGCTTTGTGTATTGCGTGAAATTGATTGGTGGCCAGTAATGGGTGATTGGTGGCCAGTAATGGGACATCTATGACGTGCATTATATAATAATAATAATAATAATAATAATAATGTAAAAATGCTTATAATTCTATGATTTAAAAATTTCGGCATCATATTCTTATGTAATTTAGAAATTGCATAAGATTCTTTAGTTTATTAAAAAATACGGTAAAGAATAATTGCATTAAACTCCTTTATAATTTTTAAATCACATTATTGTCATCACTAGACCGGTAATATAAACGAACACTTCGCTAACTTGTGTCGGTTCGACTCACTAAGAGCTCATTCGTTAAGCTAAACGAGCCGAACATAAACACAAATTTTGGCTCGTTATATTCACGAACAAGCTCGAGCTTGTTCGCGAACGTTCGATATTTGTTAGAAAAATTAAATTAGTAATTTTATAATTAATATTTATATATATCTTTATAAATATTATATTTCGTTCTATTTTCTATTGAAATTTATTAATAAAAATTATAATTATTATTAACTGAATTTATATTTTTTAAAAAAAATTAAATAAATAAAATAAAATATCTCTTAACAAACCGAGCCAAGCCGACCATTAATAAAAAAAAAAGGTGTTATATGAGCTAAGCTCAAACAAAAATCCAGCTCGTATTTCTTAACAAACGAACAGAACTCGAATTCTTAACAGAGTCGAGCTCAAACAAAATTTCAGTTCGTATCTCTTAACGAACAAACAGAGCTCAAATTTTTAACGAGTTGAGCTCAAACAAAATTTCAACTCGTATCTCTTAACGAACGAATAGAGCTCTAATCCTTAACGAACTGAGTCCAAATTCAAACATGACAAGCTCAGCTCTGTTCAACTCGTTTACAGATCTAGTCATCAAGAACCGACTAAACATATATAGGGATAGATTCTCCATCACCAATGATCTCTACAGCTACATTTCCCATCTTCAAAACGATGGAAACGATTCGAATCCCGGACCAATATTTCCCGGCACGCGATTTTCGATATATACTTGACGACAGTATGGCAATCCCCACAAACCCGAAGATTCTTCATCACCAACAACGGCGTACCCGCCTTTGTGCGCAACAAGCCAAAAGCGATCGCAAGCCTTTCGCTATGCCCGCAAAGCATGGCGAGCTTCTCATCCTCGTCGACGTCGTGGAAAACAAATTTCACGTCAGGAACATATCCTTCCTTTGCCATCAAACCCGACAGCGCATCCAAATGCTCGATAACTTCTCTACATTGTTCAAAAGATCGATCCCCAGCTCCGAAATAATAGACCTTATTTTGAATCTCGATCCAGCTGCATCCCGGGATTTTCTTGAGCCCTTTGTCGTTTAACGAGATTCGAATCCGTTGCACTTGATCCCTCTTCCCAATTGCCGCGTACGCGTTCAATGCCAAGATGTGGTAGCCTGGATCGTTTGGATTTAGTCGAAGAACATTCCGTGCCACGCGGTCGATTATTTCCGTGTCTTGGGTCACGCGGCACGCGCTTAATAGCGCGCCCCAAATGCTCGCGTTGGGCTTCGTAGGCATCGAGAGGATGAAATCTTCAGCCTCGCGGAGATGCCCCGAGCGCGACAATAGATCGACGACACAAGCATAATGTTCGATCTGCGGCTCGATTTTGTAAACTCTCTTCATTTCCTCGAAATGAGATTTTCCCTCTTCGACTAGACCGGAATGGCTACAGGCGTAGATAATCGACAGAAAGGAAATGTGATCGGGAACGATACCGGATAACTTCATACATTCGAAAGCTTCAAGCGCTTTTCTTCCTTCGCCATACATTCCGTACGCCGAAATAATCGCCGTCCACGAAACTAAATCCCGGGCCTTCATCTCTTTGAACACCGTTATCGAGCTTCTCAAACATCCGGTGTTGGAATACATTTCGATCAAAGCATTCCCAACCGGAGTGGAGAAATCAAAACCTAATCGCAAAATGCTGCCGTGCATCTCCTTCCCCTGTCGTTTCGCGACGAGATAAGAACACAAAGGCAGAGCGCTCAAGAACGTAGGTACGTCCGGCGCGACTCCTTCATCTCTCATCCGGCGAAGAATCTTGAACCCGACACTACGATCCTCGGAATGGCCAGACGATGCGATGATAGAATTCCACGTAACTATATCCCGTGTTTTCATGCTTTCGAACTGTTTCAACGATACCCCTGTTTCGCCACGTTTGGCATACGCATCAAGAATAGCATTTCCGACAATCTGAGTGTGTTCGAATCCTCGTTTTATTACATCACAGTGGAGCGCCTCTGTATCGGTAGAAATCGAAAGAAGCGTCAAATAAGTGACGAAATCGGGCTGGAAATGCATCCGCATTCTTTTGTGCGTCGCCATCGCTTCCTCATAAAACCTACTTTCGACATAACCGTTAAGAAGCGTGTTCCATGACACCAAGTCCCGGGTTTTCATGCTGTCGAAAACTTTCCTCGACTGCAATAAATCGCCGCATTTGGCGTACATATTGATAAGGATATTGCCAGCCAGGGTGTCGCACTCATACCCATTACTAACCATATAGCCGTGCATGAATCTTCCCAACTTCAAATCTTCGATGTGAGTACAACCACGAAGAACTGCCGTGATTGTCAACATATCCGGTTCAAATCGACCCACCATTTTCATAAACAACCTTACAGACTCTTCGTGCAATCCCGACTCACAAAATCCGCATATCATCGTATTCCAAGTAACGTCGTCTCTACAAACCATCTCATCAAATATTTTCTGGGAAACATCTAACATGTTGAACTTTAAATACATCGAAAGCAATCCATTACTTACAACAACGTCGTGACAAACTCCGAGCTTTTCGACTAATCCGTGAATCACCTCACCTTCTTCAACCTCCCCAATTCCACCACAAGCCAAAAGGGCGCTCGAAAACGAAAAGGAATCGGGCACGAATCCCTCCATACGCATTCGATTGTAAACTTCCAGAGCTTCCAGAAAACATCCATTTGCAGTGAACCCCGAAATCAAACTGTTCCAAGAAACAATATCTCTAAGAGGCATTTCGTCGAACACCTTTCGGGCATACCCCAATTCATTACACCGTGAGCACATATCCATCAACGCATTGTTTATGAATAAATCGGATTCAAATCCGGACTGCAAGACATGCTCATGGATTTCCCTTCCTCTCTGGAAATCCATCAAACTTCCGCACGCATTGATCACCGAAGGAAATGTGTACTTATCAGGCGGCACCTCCAGTCTCCCCATTTCCGCGTAGAACTCTAAAGCTTTTGAGTGAAATCCGTTGTGGATCATTGCCCTAATAATCGTATTCCACAGATATGCATTCCTCGTCAGAGAATTTCTTCGAAAAATTGATAAACATGAACTTGGATCCTTGAATTGGGAGTACTTAGAGATTAATTTGCCTGCGAAAAATGGAGAATTGTAGAAACCAAAAGCGATTAGGAGGCAGTGGATTTGCTGGAGATCTCTCTTGCTTGATGTTGATGATAAGTGTTTGGAGATTGAAGTGTAGATTTCTCTGATTTTCACAGCATTCATTGGAATTGGAATGGAACCAACGCAACTGTTCTAATTGTTGGTAGTTCATATAGGTTTTGATGTTGACTTTGTTCTTTTGTTCCAAAGAACTTTTAACACATATTTTTGTACGGCCTTCTTCCCCAATCTATCTATCCATTTGTTTTTTCACCCAAATTTAAAAATATTAGTATTATATTGGAATAAAGTAAAAATAAAACTAAAAAGACTAAATTAACCCCTATTAGTATTGTATGATATAAATGTAATGATATTTGTGTAATATATTATAAATTAAAAGGGTATTTGTAATGTTAGGTAGATAGTACAATTACTTAAAAAAAAAAAAAAAAAAAAAAAAAAAGGAAACGGATACTTTGTTATGGGACGGATACCAAAATGAAAAAATGGATAGATTGTTAAGGGACAGAGGAATAAAAATTAGAAGACTACACATATTTATTTTTATTTTACTTAATATTAAAAAATATTCTTTCAAATCAAAATATAAAATAAACTCACCCTTAATTTGGTTCGAAAATTTATACTCTCTCTCATAACAAAGTATTTATTTTTTTAGTCCGTCCCATAACAAAGTATCAATTTTCTTTTTTAGTAACTGTGTTATCTACCTAACATTACAAATACTCTTACAACTTACAATATATTATACAAATATCATTATCTTTATATCACACACGTACTAATAAAGTTATTTTAGTCATTTCTATTTTATTTCTACTATATTCATAATTCGTAAATTAAAAAATAATAACCTTATTTTAGAACATACTAAAATAAAAAAAAATAAAAAATTGCAACATTTGGATAAGACAGGATGGATTATTTAGATTACATAAAATATTACTGAATTTTGGTCATAGTCCCGCAATTTTCCATATTTATAATTTAACATAAAGGTACTCAATTTCCCATCCTTACAATTAATTTGCATGCATATAATTCATCAACAATATTATTATTATTATTATTAAATCCACGCCATCTCCCATTCCTGGCCACCAATCAATTTCACGCAATACACAACTTAAAGCGACAGGGAATAAAACCCTAATTCTCAGCAGCACACACACATATACATATACATATAAATATATATATCACTTGCCGCCGGCGGCACAGTCGGTGGGCTTAAACGACACCGTTTTCTTCTGCAAGTCATACCCCACCAGAAAATTCCCCTGCGCAATATTCCCATAAATGGCGAGACCCGAAGCTTCCGCAAACGCGAGACACAAACTCCTCTCGCTCGTCTGCACAAAAGTATTCACCGCCTTCAGCTCCACATCCGCCCCCCGGAAATGCGCCGCCATCGCCGGCACCGCCGCCTCCTCCCCCTCCCTCAGCTCAAAGCACAGGTCCAGCTGCCCCGCCGGATCCATAATCTCCTTCAGCTTCATTTGCCGCTTCACAGATTGCCTCACCTGACCGTAAAATTCAGTCGGAATGTACGTCAGCGTCGTGCCGGAGTCGATGATTATGTTTCCGGCGCCGGAATCTTCCCCTTCTTTTGAGCCGTTGGATGGAACCAGATCCAGCCGTTGATTCCCCACCGTCATCCCTTTCAGATCCAGGTAGTAGAAGGTCTCCGGCGATTTGGGGATTATCGGAGTTGTAATCACTCCGGCGCCTGAAACGACGGCGTTTTGACCGAAATTGAGCTTCGATGATTTCTTACTACCCTCGCTGAATAACGGTACGAGGCAGTAAGAAAACTTGTGTTCGATCTTCTTCCCGAGCTGCGTTATCAGAGATGTCTTTCCGCCGCCGAGCCCAACGATCCCCGCCGTGCCGGAGCCGAACGAGCCCTGGTCGAAGTGGCCGCAGCCGACGACGATATTGGGGACCGACGTGTCGCCGAGCTTAATCGTGTCGGTGCCGAGGTCGCCTCTGCTGAACGACCGGTCGCCGTACTGGACGGAGTAGGTGCAGGTCCGGCCGTTGCAGGCTGTCTGAAGATCGGCGATTCGACACGTGTCGGAATTGCAGGGAACGGTTTTGTAAGAGGAGGAGCGTTTAGGGTCGAAGAGTGGGATGTTCTGCGGGAAGCATAATCTGCAAGGTTTGCACTGAATCCACGTCAGATCGCTGCCGGTGTCGGCGATGGCCGCTGTCTCCAACGGCGGCGTTCCGACGGAGAATTTCATTACATACGCGCCCTTGTCGGGAAGGACGTCGGCGGAGGCTTTTGATCGAACACGGCCGTGTGAACGACGCAGAGCATTTCGAACATGGAGAAATCGATCGGAGGAGTTGGCCGGAGAATCGGAGAGGAAGGCGTCGCGGTGGATGAGATCGACGCTGAAACCTGCGGCTTCGTTGAAATTAAGATTGGACAGGAAGATGAGGAAGATTAGGGTTAGGGCTTTGGTTGAGGGTTTTGCTGCCATGGAAGTTTCTTGTATGTGTTTTGAGTTTGTGTTTGGTGAAATTTTAAGGTTTTTGTAATGAAGGAAATCTGATAATGGATATATATATATATATATTGAGGAAATGTGATTCTTGAAATGGGAAAATAAAAATAATTGAAGATTACCAGAGGTGTGAATTTGGATGCGTGAAGAAACTCTGCATTGAATTACAGGCACAAAGGTTCGATTTTTTAAGAAAATTTTAAAAGATTGTTTTGCCTAAAAGGGTGATTATGATTCACTATATCTGGATTTTTTATTTTTTATTTTCCCTTTATTTACTTTAGATATAAATTAAATTTTCTTTGATATTATTTTTTTTCTTAAAGTATATAAGTCTACATACTATAAATCTGTTTGAATGTGTATTAATAATATATTGAAAGCATATATATTTACTTTATAAAGCCATATTAGAATATTGAATTTCATTTCCAGAATATTTGTAAAACTAAAAATGAAATATATAAAACTAAAAATATAGAACCCAATTACCAAAAAGAACAAATAATCATAATAAATATAATATTTTCATAAAATATTGGGTTCTACATTTGTTGATTAATATTAGATAAATAGTATATATCCCATAATTATTTTAGTTCAAAAATTTTATTATTGAAATACTCAAACTAAAGTATATAGTGAAACATAACCTAAATTTTTTATAAATAAAATAATTAGGTTCGTGTACAAAATAAAAACTCTTTTTCAAAATTATATTTTTAATTATTTCAAAGGTGTAGGTGTGTTTGTTTTAATTTGAAATAAATACACATAACTTGTTTACCCAACTTTTTTTTTTTTTTTGTGACATGATTCCCTATAAATATTATAAAAATATTACATATATATTTTAACACAATGTATATAACATATATAGGGTTTGTTTATTCAGTGTTTTGATTTGAGTTTTTTTTTTTTATGTAAAGTATAGGAAATTATATCGATAATATAAAAATAATATTTTATATTAAATATTGATATTTTTTAGAGAATAATATATATACATTGGAATCCTGTCGGAAAAAGAAAATGTGCGAACAAATTCATACTATCTCCGTCGGACTTTAAGAGTCTTATTTACTTTTTGCGTGTTCATTTTTAAATACTAATTATTATATCAAAACGTGATACCAATTAAAAAAAAATCAAAAATACTTCTATTAGTGTCTTATAATATTAATAAAAGGACATTATAAAAAAAAATTAGACAAATATAAGGATATTTTTAATGTTAAGTACAATGACGCAAAAGGTAAATATGATCTTAGAGGCGGACAAATAGAGTGATATTTTATTTATGCACAAGAGTCAACAATTTAACATAAAATAATAGTATTTTTTATATTATCGACATGATTCTCACACCTAATATAATTACACATTCATTTAAAAACACAAAATGAACACACTGTGTATTTTTCTCTATGAGAGAGTATATTGTAAAACCACTACTTCTCAATTTAATTTTAAAAAATAAAATTTTTTTAAAAAAAATGTTAATGGGGTTGTGTAAATAGAGCTGTCTATGCACATCATTTTTTGCTATTTTTTTCCAAAAGGGCAGATTTCTTGATTGTGAGTGTGGAATAACAATATCCAACTTTTCTTGATGTTCTTCATGTGGGATCATATTAAAGAAAATACTTTGGCTTTGATAGGGATTTCATGGTTGAAAATCAGCAATTACTTTCAAAGTAATTTTCAATCCAAAATTGCAAGTGACGTGCTATAATTTGTAAAGATTGAGATTGAATAAAGATGGGGAGTAGAGTCAAAATGAAATTATAATGGGGAGTGTTTCACAAGAAAATAATGTACAAATATAGTCTCTTTATCGAGTAATGTAACTTGCTTTGAATGATGTTGGAATTATTTGAATACGGCGTTTCGATATTTGTTTGTCATTTTGCTGATTTGTACAGGTTCGAAAAATGTTGGGATGCCTTGAATTCAGCCAGCTATGTTTGATTTGAGTTATTATAAATACTCATTATGATGTAAATTTTTGCATGTTAGCATTCTGAAATTGTAATAAGATTATTCATCTTCTGTCTCGTGGACGTAGCCAACGTTTTCGTCGATGAACCACATAATTTTGTTTGTCAATTCTTTTTTTTATTATTATCTTTAATGTATTTTCGTCACAAAAAAATGATAGAAAACAATCCTCTTTTGCCTTGCCTTGTCGAAAGGATCAATGAAACGGAAAATATTGAAATGGTCGACATTTAATTATGTAGAGTTTTATCTTTTTTTTTTTTTTTTGTCTGAGTTTTATCTATATTTGATCTTATATAAAAATCAACATAAGGGAAAATAATAGTTTATTTATATTATTATTACTCCTTCTGTCCGTCAATTTTATACTCATTTTTTTTTATATTATTTTTCAATGAACTGAATCGAGCTAAATTTATTTATATTATTATATTTAAAAATGTATATTAATGGTTATATTATATAAATTAAATATTATTTATATTTATATTACTATATTTAAACGGTTAAATATAAATATAATTGTAGTTTGGTTCGATTAAGTTTGAATGAGAATATTTTTGGTTAATATGAATTTTTATAATTTTATTGAATTGTTTTCAAATAATGCAAATATTTTTTGTTGACTGAATTTTCGGTTAACCTAATCTTTAGGTTGAAAGACATTTAACGGTTTTAGATATTTGATCAATTTTGGTTTAAATACAAAATACTTATATATTTATAAATAATCGAACTGTGTATATGAAGTAATTAACGATGCAATAGTAATTAAAAAATATAGGTAGAGAGAGAACAAACATACCGCAATCTGACCAACCCATCACCAAAATAATGTTTTTACACTATGATTCTATAATTGTCATCGAACTAGTCATGGAGGGTGTGTTTGTTTTGTGTTCTGGTTTGAAAATATTTTTTTAATGTAAGATTATATGAAATTTGGTAGATAATATAGAAATAATGAGTGTGTGTAGTATATTAATTTTTTGGAGAAATATGTTTAAAAATAAAATTAAAAAGAAGCAAACCCGAAATTTCTTCACATTTTCACTCAAGATGAAAACTATTTTCTCTCAAAATACAAAAGAAAAAGTCACTCTAAACTCTCCATTATTTCACAATTTCAAATTTCTTTGGAGTAAATTTTATAGATCTAATCTCTTTAAATCCCAACCCTTCAATATCTCAATAAATTAGAAAATTTACCTTAATTAGCTATTATCATATCAAATATCTCTATTCTAAACATCATATTAAATTCTAGATCCTATCAAGATATCTCATTTAAATTTTTTAAATAAATATATATATATGTATATATTAAAACTCTTTGACCAAACTAACCCACAAATCCATGCATATTTCGACATATAGCAATGTGATTATATCAAATTAAATGGCTTCTTAATTAATAAAAATAATCGAGCATTAAACTTTAGAGAATGTTGTGATTATTCACAAACAAATCTTTGAAAATTCTGCAATTGTCTCATCAAGAGTATTGTAGTCGAGAGTTGATTCGACAATCGTCAAATATCATACATATATATATATATATATATATATATCAACCAAAAACATGTAATAAGAGGACCATAGCAAAAAGGAAATTAATAGTTAACCTTGAATTTTCTATATGAAGAACAATGGGTTAACTGGTTATAAAAATTTAACCTTACATTTTTTAGACATATGAAACAATTTTCTTTTTTTTTTTTTCTTTTTCTTTCTCTTTTTTTATTGTACAATGAACTCTCTAACAAAAGCTTATATTATACATAAAAAAAAAGAAAAAAAAAAAAAAAAGAAAAAAAAAAGTGAGAATAAAGAGTCAAAAGGTTTGTTTGGTTTTGATTTGAAATTTGAGTTTTAATTTGAATTTTAGTTTAACTAGGATTTTAATATACTCCCTCCTGGTAATTCTGCCAGAATGTCCAAACATACAAAATAATAGTAGTTTAATATAAAAGCATTGTAGGTAAAAAAATAAGCTGAATGAATGAATAATAATAATAAAGTAGTGAGATAAGTAGAAAAAGTAATAAAAATTTGATTATTATTTATTATAGTAAGGTAATAAAAAAATTAAACCCCTACTGATTTATATTTTTATAAATAATTAGATTTTAAAAAATAAATGAATAAGTATTTTAAAAATTTTCAAAATTTTGGGGTCTAGATGTTGCCCAGGTTTACATAATATTAATTTGATTCAATTAACAAATATCTATAAATAAAGTAGCAAATATTAATACTCTCTCCGTCCTAATCCAATTGGGTTTTTTTGGGGGTTTTATAATAGATTAAGAAATAATAGTATTTTATTAGTTAGAGAAAGTGTGTAAGAGTTTTTGACATTTTTTTTCTTCGACTTTATGTATGAAATAATTGCATATGTAATGATATATTTGTAATTTAACGAAAAGTTAAGGGTATTTTAGTATTAGTGTATTAATTACTTTCTTTTTTTTAAGAGAAAATGAATACTTTGAAATGAAATAGGCGAAAATGATAAAAGTGGTACTTTGAATTGGGACGTAGAGAGTATAATATATAGCACATAATATATGTTATCTACTTTGTGACGAATTGTTAATTGCTTCGTATTGATTTGCTAACTTAATCAAATCAGCATGGTATTGATTTTACCTCGTCAGCACCCTAACCGTCGGTATATTTTTTATACATGTACATTAATATATTATTGCCGATTTAAGAGTTCAATATCTAATTAGATATGCTTATTATTGAATGAATTATAGAAAACTATAAAATCCGATCTCCAATTTGATGAAAGGATACGCAATTTAATTACGGCAAATTTTTGTGTATTATAAATTTCTTCACCCCACCTATTATAAATAGAGCAAGCCATTGAGTGTATATATATAATTATATGCACATATTTACTTATATATTTGGTTGGTTTTTATATAATGAGTTATTTTAGATTTTGAAATTGTTTAGATAAA